TTATTATTATTATTATTATTATTACTATTATTATTATTATTATTATTACTATTGTTATTATTGCGTTTCTCTAAGAATCGTGTTTTTGCAGTACGATGAGGATTTTGAAAATTGGAAAAGTGAATGGGACGAGGGAGTAGCGAGGCATCCTCGTGTTAGCACCATCCATGAGCAGAAGCATGAAACAATTTTGGCACTTTCTGTTTTTGAGAAAGTTTCTCGGGAATCAGCTGTTGCTTGGATCAATCATTTGCAAAGCTCAAATCCAACGATGCACAATGCTCGTGTGCTACTGAGGACGAAGCAAGCTGAACGAACTTTGATTACACCGATCTCTTAATGTTTTTGAGCTATTTCGGGTGAAGTGCTTTTTCGATTTTTGTTGAGATTTTCGCCGGTGTATTAATTTATCTTTTCATTAAAATACCTGTTTCTCGTCTGTTATGCCAGGAGTTTGTGCGAAAACAGCTTTTCGCATACGTTTGTCTCCTTTTTAATTTACTTTGTTCATGTTCAAGAGTAGCCATCCTTCTTGCTTTCAAAAGCATGCCGATCGATAACCCTGACATGTTGCTAACATCTAGTCCACAGGTGGGCAACCGGCGGCCAGCAGAGCGAATCCCGCCCGCGGAGGGAATCAGAGTGTGGTGCCTAACTAGATGAACGAGGGTTTGTATTCCTCCACGCCTCTGCACTCTGATGAAAATAAATAAAACTTAAATACGCACGAGATTAACAGGCGACAGTGTGGAAAATACTTTAAGACTATTCATACTGTTAACCATCTTACTTCGTCAGATTTAGCATAAAAACACATGATCGTATGGGCAAACTGGTATGTTGCTACCTGAGTTTTATTAAAAGGTGGCCTGCGAGTTTAAGTATGTAAGTCAGGCCCGCGTATCGTCCAAGGCTGCCTATGCCTGATCTAGTCAATCGGTAACCCTGCTGCTGTCATGGCTAGTCGGCGTCCAGTTACAATACTTGCCCTGTCTTAGTGAGAAACGTATTCACTGAAAAGTGCCGAAGCATCAGCACTTTTCCAAAAATAGCCACCTGCAAGCAACACTTCTCATAATTTTTTCCATCCAAAAGTCGCTTGGAAAATAAACTAAAGGCGTTTGGGCATTCCTGGCACGCTGGATTGCTAGTTGCTGTTGAAGTACATTAAATTTTAATCGATTGCTCCGCTCCTTTACTAATGCTTTCTAGAAGTCGCTTTTTAACCAAAATCTGTTCATTTTTTGAGTTAACTGCCCGTCAATAACGTGCTTGGATGGTAATGGAGCAATGGCAATACTTCTTAATGTCGTTTTTTTTTACGATGTTTTGGAATTGAGAAAGCGCAGAGAAGCTGACCGGAAAGGACTTTTTGTATTTACACTTCTGTTCAGTCGTTTTTAAGTAGATATGGTTATATGTACACTTCCAGAGTGCTGGAATTTGCTACTGGATATATTTAAAAAAAAAACAGAAATTCGATAAATTGCATGTGACAAAGTATCGTCCAGCAACCATTGCTGCACTCTGCAACA